GTCTGTTTGCAACTCCAACGGCTCCTGCTGGGCCACAACAGGATCTCCTGCTTTAGACTCTACTAGAAGACTTCCAAGGTCTAGCTCTATTTTGATTCGGATTCTAATTCAAGGAGCCCCAGGAAAGCCAGTCATGGATTGTATAGGGACAGACACAAAGAGTTTGCAATGGGGAATGGGTGGGCGTTTCAGTACCATGGAGAGCACCCAACACATTTGGGCTACATTATCTTTGCCTAAGAAGGATGTTGCTCCAGCTCTTCCTGATGGCCAGCAGAAGTCCAGAGAAAGATACTGGTGGGCGGAGGTGGGCAACTATGGCAACATTATGGCCTGTGGACTTCTGGGAGTTGTCGTCCACAGGTCATAATGTTGCCCAACCCTGCTGCAGGGTGTCTTCATCTCCCTTTTGCATTTTGGAAGATAAAGCTGTCACAACAGATGAACAAATATTTATGCCTCAGTAACAAAAAAAAAGCATTGACAGGATGGGAATTAAAAACCCCATATGAAAAGCCTGATGCATTAAAAATCCAGCATATTTCAATCATCAAGCAGGCCGTCCCTGGGTGGGCTCGAACCACCATCCTTCTGGTTAACAGCCAGACGCGCTAACCCATTGCGCCACAGAGACCTGGCACAGGCCTCCCTCTCGCTTCCCCCCACCTGAGCATCCATAGCTGGGCTGGCTAGACAGCAATAAGATACTTTGGTCCCCCGACCCAGCGTGTTCCTCCCTCCCTCCCTCCCTCCCTCCGTCAGATGGGAAAAGAGAAACCCTGGATGTAAATATTGCTTCACTTGAGACAGCTGAGATGGGATTTGAATCCATGCATTCAGAGTACAGGGCGTTAGTTCTCCATCAGCTCCCCCTCTCAGCCATCTTGTCGAGGGAAGGGTACCTGCAGGTGCTCCTGGGTGAACTCAAAACAACCCCTGCTCTTCTGGTCAACAGCCGGACGCCTTGACCCCTTGGCCTCCAGAGTTCCCCTCAGCTGCCTTGAAGAGCTGATGCCAATCTCTCTACCCCAAGTGGACCATAGGTAGATTTGCCCCCTCCAAGCCTCTTGCAATTCCTGCCTTCTTTGAAGTCCAAGGAGGGCTGGTTGGATGGAGACTCTATCAAACCTGATAGGATGACCAGAGGCTGGGATGAGATAGGATGGGAGGAAAGAAAAAATAACATGGACGAATGAAAGTCAGACACAAGACAATTTTCTGG